TACAACAATTTTTTTAACGCCTTTTAGACCAACGATGGAGGTCATCAAGGTATAGCTGAAACCAAGGAGACTACAGCACCTGAAGACAATAAAAGCGATGTTAATACCAAGGAAAAGAGAAAACAAGGTCGCACTGACGAAGATAGATCAATGGGTAAGGGAATTCGCTTAATTTTCAAATGAATTCATAGATAATTTCTTTCTAACTTTCTCCAATTTTTTAGGACAAGCTGAGCAAAATAAAATAAAACGTCTCAAAACTGTTGACAAAATCAATGAAGAAGATAACGCACAAAAGGAAGATGATCAAGATGAGGCAAATAATGATATGGAAGCAGAGGAATATCAACATGTTAAGGAACCAAAGACAAGTGATAAGCTTACTTTAGACAATGCAACCGAAGAACAGTCCAAGAAAATTCAGCCTCAGTCCGAAGAAGAAAAAATTAATGAAAATGAAGAAACTAACGAAAATCAATCGGAATTAATTGAAGAAACTGAAGAAGAACTTAACAATGTGGATCTTCAAGAAATGCTCTCCGAAAAAATGGAAAAGAAATCGGATAATCCCTCAAAGTCTGAACCAAGAAATGACAATGCTACCACTCAAGAACAATTAGAAGTGGAAGGTGAAGTTATCGAAACAATGACGGTACAAAGAAGTGACGATACTACCGCACATTGCAAGTAAGTATTATATCAATTATTGTGTGCATTAGAAAAGAAATTACTTTTTCGCTCTCATCTTTGCAGTAAGGAAATACTGAGTGACAAGAGTGGACATGTAGAGGAATTAAGTGCAGCAAAAACGCTAGAATTAAGAAGGATATACCAGGACCAAGTTACTTCACAGCAGCCAGTAAGTGATAAACATATATGTAATTCACATTAATGTTAACATATTTATTTATTTTTTTTTTAATTTCCTAGATTATTGCCCAAAATGAAGACCATGAAACATGGCATGCTATATCCAATCGTATGTCGCAAAATGCTCGCGACCTTTGTGAACAACTGCGCCTTATTTTAGAACCAACGAAATGTACACGATTGAAGGGAGACTACCGAACCGGACGTCGCATAAATATGAAAAAAATTATTCCGTATATTGCCTCCCAATTCCGTAAAGACAAGATCTGGTTGCGAAGAACAAAGCCAGCGCAACGCGATTACAAAATTACTATAGCAATTGATGATTCGAAATCAATGCATCACAATAATTCAAAAGTCTTGACTCTGGAAGCCATATCTCTAGTGTCACAAGCTTTAACATTGCTGGAAAGTGGACGTTTAAGCGTAATATCTTTTGGAGAACAACCTCAAATATTGCTCAATCACAATGAACAGTTCGATGGACCAAAATTGGTCAGTTCCTTGCAGTTTTCACAGGATAAAACGAAGATAGCCGAATTACTCGACTTCACACGGACGGCAGGCTTAGAAGAAGGTTCGTCTGCTTCCGACAACGGCATTTTCGAAAATCTACTTTTAATTTTAAGTGATGGTCGTAACATATTTAGTGAAGGCAAATCAAAGGTGCGTAATTTTTATATACATCCATGCATTTCAAATTTACAAAAACCCTATTGTTCCCTTTCAGGTGCGAAATGCCATTAAACTAGCAAGACTTCAGCGAATTTTCCTAGTTTACATTATCATAGACAATCCGGAGAATAAGAACTCAATACTTGACATACAGACAATGGAAATGTTACCAAATAATTCCATTAATATAAAATCTTATTTAGAAGATTTTCCATTCCCCTATTATGTTATAGTCAGAGATCTGAATCAATTGCCCACGGTTTTAAGTGAGGCCATGCGTCAGTGGTTCGAACTAGTGAATAGCGAACAATAAAAATTTATTGCAAACATTTTAAAAGTACATAGTTGTTAAATATATTACTTTATAGTTCAAAGTAAAAAAAAAATTGTGAAATAAACTGTATATATAAGAGAATATTTTAAATACTTTTATAGACTTTAATAAACGGAATTGAAAATTTATGAATAGAGAACAAGTCATTGTTTTATTTACAAACAAACAAAAAACGGTAAAAATTGCCGAAATCGGATAATAATAATAATAATATAATAATAATAATATAATAATAATAATAATAAGAATAATAACAATAATAATAATAATAATAATGGGCCTAAAACTTTTGGAATTGAGAATAAAAAAACTATCCGCTAACTAACGACTTGACATCTTTACCCTGTTGGAATTTATAGTATAGAGTTAGTAGAAAGTTAGTTAGCCTCTCGTTTTTATACCCTACACCACTATAATCGGGAGGGTATTATGGGTTGCGCTGATGTTTGTAACCCACAAAAATATTGTTCCAACACCCACCTTAAAGTATACCGATTGAACCACTTTCTGAGTCGATTAAGACATGTCCCTCCATCCGTCTGTCCGGCTAGCTGTCCATGTAAACCTTCTGCTCAAGCTACAGGCCGATATTTTCAAGATATTTTGATAAAATTTGGGCAATGCGAGTTTTTCGGCACAGGGACGATGCCTATTGAAAATGGTTGAAATCGGTCCATTATTTCACCTAGCCCCCATACAACCTGACCTTCCGATTTGGTGTTTTTAACTTGTAACTACGTCAAGTATTCTACTATCGTGCCGTCGTTTGACCATAGCCCCCATACAAACCCACCTTTAAAAAATATCTTAAACGTCCAAAAATTTACTTATAACCATTAGTATCTCGAAGAAATTCAGCATAACCCCCATACAAACCCACCTTTAAAAAATATCTTGTTACGAGTCCCCAAAAGCACCATAACGAATTAGGTGCCGACCAGCTCACGTACATGATTCTTACTCTCGGTGTGAGAACCTCCCTTCGTCATGGCCCAAAGAACTGTCACAATAAATGTTCTATGAATCTGTTCACTAATATCAAATGAACCACTTTCTGAGTCGATTAAGACATGTCCCTCCATCCGTCTGTCCGGCTAGCTGTCCATGTAAACCTTCTGCTCAAGCTACAGGCCGATATTTTCAAGATATTTTGATAAAATTTGGGCAATGCGAGTTTTTCGGCACAGGGACGATGCCTATTGAAAATGGTTGAAATCGGTCCATTATTTCACCTAGCCCCCATACAACCTGACCTTCCGATTTGGTGTTTTTAACTTGTAACTACGTCAAGTATTCTACTATCGTGCCGTCGTTTGACCATAGCCCCCATACAAACCCACCTTTAAAAAATATCTTAAACGTCCAAAAATTTACTTATAACCATTAGTATCTCGAAGAAATTCAGCATAACCCCCATACAAACCCACCTTTAAAAAATATCTTGTTACGAGTCCCCAAAAGCACCATAACGAATTAGGTGCCGACCAGCTCACGTACATGATTCTTACTCTCGGTGTGAGAACCTCCCTTCGTCATGGCCCAAAGAACTGTCACAATAAATGTTCTATGAATCTGTTCACTAATATCAAATGAAACACCTATGAAGTGGAGTTAGATGTTCACTCCAGTCTGCCCTATCCCTTCCATAATCTCCCATACCTATAACATTTACGGGTATCCCTTCAAAATCCTTTACCACACCACTTACCTTTAATAAACCACTCTGTTAAATGAGATTATTCCAGCATTTTTCTCTTTTTTCTAATTCACTTAATTCATAACATATTTATTATAACTATTGCTTAGGATATAAAACCTGAACAAATTATACAAAACTCTATAAAAAAAAACAAATTTAGCTTTTATATCTATTACAAAAATAAATGGCAACTCTGATTCCTCAATAATATTTCCCTGCCTCAACAAATACCAAACTAAAACGGACACAAAATTACAAGTTATAAAACAAATAAATTCCCTTTATATGTATATTGGTTTCCTCATCTAATTATGCCCCAACAATTGGTTTGGGAATTCACTCATTTATACAACACTACTATCAGCCTAAGAGAGCTCACTTAAACGATTTTTTTTCTGGCTACTTTAAGCCTGGCTCAAAATTTCACTACTCGGTTCGATGAGAAAACTATCAGGGAGATGTTTAACAAATGTTATGTACGAAACGTAAGGTATTTATCGAAGATCAAGGATGCCTAATAAATAGTGTTAACACACAAAAAAAAAAAAAACAAAATAAAAAAAAATATAACTAAAACTAACAAACTTAAACTAGAGATGTTAAATAAGACTTATATATTAGGGATATCAAACTAATTAGAGATAAAAGACTATTCTGTTGTTTTTCTTAACAGTAAGCACTTCCCTGTTCCGAATGGTTTTTCCGTTGATGATGTAATAATTTATTCAAATATAATTTGTTGGGCAGTTGTTGAGCTTTGTGCCTTCTCCCAAAAAAAATTTTGTAGTCCCCGTATTTTGTTCTGGCCCTGCTCCAGTTCTGGGGGACTAAGAAGTTTAATTGCCTTATGTTGATTAAGTATTGCAGGGATTTCCTTAGTTTCCTATCACAGAATCGAAACTGCTATAAGTAATAAACTTAATCAGCACACTAATATTAATTAGGCTAAGACACTCTATATTACCTTATATTCTTCGATAAGTTTATTTCAAATAGATAACTTTAAATCTTCGTTCTTATATTTTTTTTTGTATTTTTGTTCAATTTAAATTGCACTTTCTTGTTTATATTATTTTGTTTAAATTTGAAAAAATATATATGTATACCGTCTGGGCTGCTTATTTTCTTCTATCTCTTTAAGATGGCCGAGCAGAAACTTATATTTATACTCTATATGTTCCAAGAATTTCTATTCCAATTGGGCCTATTATATTCATGCTCCTTTAAATCCTATAGTCATCACATTCTGACATTTCATAACACAACCATCCTTTTCTAATTCTTCCTCAATTTGTATCTAAACATTGAATAGCTTTATTTGAACTTAACGAACTATCAACATTCATATTCATTCATAAAATCCTACGTACACATTTCTCTCACACTGTGTCTGACCACTCTCATAATCTCACATCTGGCAACCCTTTTTACTACAGATGTTCGAGGCGAATTCAATACATGTGAGAACTTGACACAAATTGCATTAATTAATTAAAACAAAGAAGCAGACAACATGTAAACTGAGGTAAGTATTTATTGAAATTATTGTAATTTTTAGATATTAAGTTTTTTTTTTCGTTTCAGGAATACTGGTAAAACTGTATCGTTTCATTATCACAAGATTTCTAATACTAATTTGTTTCTTTTCTTCTTTCTTTCAGCTATTTGAGTTTGGGAAAGGTTGTGGCTTAACTCCACCACATGACTCTAGGCCCTTCCCAGGTTGGTGTTTCCACTGCGAGCTGACCACTCGCATACTCTTCTGGTGGAACCCTAATCAAATAGGCCAATGAGCCAAATTACATCTCTGTAGTTAGAAACTAATAAACTAACTTAAACAAAATAAAAACTACTAACCTTAGTTTACTAACAAAGCAACATGAAATTATTAGGGTACGCCCACGAGCAAGGCAGTCAGGACTGCTGGGCAGCAGATATTGTACCCCCTCAAAAAGGCACATTGTAGGTACCCCCACGCAAAATTTTTTTTTCAAATCCCCATAGGAGTAGTGTCAAGGGGGTATAATTAAGGAGCACTGCAACAATCTTAAACGTCCAAAAATTTACTTATAACCATTAGTATCGCGAAGAAATTCAGCATAACTAACCTTTATATAAAAATACATCCCTCCTACCAATTTGTTGGGGATCGGTCCATATTTGACCCTAAATTCTTTCAGAATTTTCTTTTTCATCAATAAATTGCTTAAATATATCGAAAATAAGGTAAAATTCAACATAGAAGTTATAAAATTAATAATTTTTGAAATATGGTGTAGGTTATCATATAGTAGGCCATGTTATTTGTTTTGTATGTATTTTTGGAGGACATTTTAAATATTTTTAAGGAAAATATTATAATAAATTAGGGAAAATATATAAAATAATATTAATAATCAAAAATATTTCTAATAACACATAAATTTCATTTGATTAAAATAACAATCTGAATTCATTTTTGAAGTTTCAAAGAATTTTTTTAACTGCGGAAAAGGTTGAATTTTGGAAGGCATTTAGAATGAGTTGTATTAGCACTGCCATGAAACTTGCATTCACTTTTCACTACTGCAAAATTTTTTTGTTGGGTACTTGTTCATTATAAATATGGAAGATAAACATACAAAATAGGTATGTATATCAACAATTGGCGACTTTTTATATACATTTACTAGATTTTCACGAAATCAAGTTAACATCACTGGAAACCTTCATGCGCATTTAATGAGGTGATAGATAGTAGCTTAACAAAACCTATAGGGTATTTTGTTTTTGTAATGTGACACATAATTGTCAGTCTGAATACTGCTTCCCGTATTTGTTTTTATTTTGTAACATTAACTAGAAACCAGCTGTTTATGCACTCGCTCTTGTCAGTGGTGGCAAATTAAATTTCAAAATTGTACAAAATAACATTAAGAATTGTACTTTTTTAACTCTATTTGTACCAAATCTATTTTTTTTTGTTAAATTTATGCAAAGTGTATTTATAAAGTGACGACAGTACTTGATGTACAACAGAAAACTACAACTACCACAGACAATTGTTTGTGTTATAATTATACATACATACAATTCTGTTGACTTCTTCTGTTCATTCAGTTAGAAAACTTATTTAAAATTGTCCCAAATGGTATAACATGGTACTCTTATGGTTCGAAATGTACCAAAAATAGTACAATTGTATCAATATTGACAACCCTGTTTTATTTAAAGTGTAAATTTTCATAAAAAATGTTTAATAACCCCTTAAGTTTATGTTAAAATGAAATTTTTAACAGTTGTAAGTAATTATGAGTTCAAAGTTAATGTTTATTTGTTATTAAAAATTTTTTCTTTTTTAGATAAACGATTTTAAAGAATTGGGTTGTAATCAACAAGCACAATGCGCGGTAGCATGTCGCATTTATCTGGACTTAATATCAGGTAAATTATAAACATTGTTTATGTGAAATACGATCTCCGATTAGGTTTTAGGATGATATTCATAAATTTATAAGAGATTTATTTTAGTGTTCTTTATTTAGCTTATATATACAACCTAGATCTTTTAATTCTATGATTTGTGATATATGTTTTTTGGTCAACAAATTTTTAGTTTTGGAGTTATAGACCTTTTAAGTTTATATATATATATATTATCAATAACTTCCCTATACATGAACCGATCCGGGCAATATATATACATATATCATTTGGAATACCTTTTCAACGATATATAATATGACCCCATTTATTAACCCATTAAAAACCAATCCCACAAAAAGTATTTTTCTGTAGTTTTTTGATATTTTATAAGGCTCGCCGTGAATTTGTCCCTTAGACCCCACATAAGCTCCCATTTCAAAATGTCAGTTTTTCATCGTTAAACAGCTCAAATACATCGTAATTAAGCTAAACTGCAAAATTATTTTATAATAAAGTGTTTATTAATTAAAGAAAAGATCACACTTCAGCACATTGGTATCATATAGACGAACAAGAGTTTTTATATGTGAAATCATATTTCAATTAATCACAGATTTTGGATATTTTTCTTATGAACTGAAACATATCGCACATTTGCTGCAGTGTTATATCTAAAAAAAGAATTGTTTTAAATGAAAGGTTGTCATTTTTTAATAGTTCTTTAAATATGCTTAAGGCATGAAATAATCAAAGAAATAAGTGATAAATTAAATGAATAAATAAGAATTTTTCCCCCTATAGATAAAAAATACTCTTCCGTTGATAAATGCTACGACAATACACTGCAAATACTTTTCTTCAAAGCTGAAAATCATGATAAAAAGAAATTCATAATTTTACCATCTTTAATTGCTCAAGAGTTGGACCTAAATATAATTAATAAATTGAATAAAAAAGAACTAAATGATGGCAGGTAAATTGTAGTTGAATATAAAAAAATTAAAAAAAAAAAAAAAACGTTTTTAATAACAACCAATATTTTAGTTTTCTTTTAGCCTTATGTGATACATCTTCAAATATTTTGTACTATCGACTTTTCGAAGATCAAAGATAGGGACTAATACAAACTACATATTTATGTTAATCTGATAAAAATATTACCTTTTAATATTTAAGCAATTTCCTGTTGTAATAAAAACGATGCGTGTATAACAAGTAATAAATTGTGTTAAAATGTTAAAAATAAATAATATTTATTTATTTGTTTATTATAATGTCAACATTATTTAACTTGTAATATTATAAATGTTTAAATAATAATAATTATAATCTTAAAAAATAATACACTTTAGTACATTAATGCTGATAAGGAAAATAATTTAGTTTAGATGGCTTAGGAGGGAGAGTCTGCTAAAAGTAAGATGATAAACAATATTTAAACATGATTCTTTTTGACAAAATAAAATAAAATATCCTTATTGTAAAAGAGTGAAATAAAAAGAAATATATATGAACTCGCAAGATCATTTTGTTTATTTGAAAATGGTTTTATTTTGGCCGACTGGAAGAAAAACAAAACTAAAATATTTTACTTAATAAAAGTGACTAATATTTGGAGAAGTGGCTATGTTAGAATACACTACTTAAATTCTTAAATCTTAATGTATGTACTTTGACAAAAAATATATAATTATATGTATGTATGTGTGTATGTATATTTTCGCATTTAAAAAATCATTTAAAAGTTCTATACTTGAAATATCTATGCATGTATGTTTCTATGTATTTATGTATTTTAAATGCTTATTATAAAAGATTAAGCTTAAGAAATCCTTGAAAAGATAATAAGAGAAATATGATTTTGGCAATTAATCTATAATTTTACAATTACAATTAATAATATTACAAAAGCAATCAAAACAAGTTAAAGAAACAAAATTATGTAATTGCGTTTTTAAATTTGCTCTCAAAAAGCATTGTTTTTTAATATGTGTTATGATATTGAAATAGTTTTTCCATTTAACGCAATTTTATTATGAAAAATAGTCAGAATATTAATGTAAAAGGTTACATACAATAAAACAATTTGTTTTGCTTCTTGAGAGAGAGTTTAATTGAAAATAATTGTAATCCCTATCGCTCAATTCCAATAAGACCGTCATAGCTTAAAATCTCCCATACATACATAAATCTTTTAGATTTTATTTAGTAAAAATTACCGCGGTATTTGGTTATGAGAGAGTTTTATTGTCATCATGCCATATACTTCAAAACTAAAATGAGTTGGTGTTGTTATATATCGCAATACGTATGTATATTTTATTGTTAAAATACATTTTTAAAATTGAGTAGTTTAAAAAGGACTTTTCAAGTCTTTTCATTGTAAGCTCTACGACGGTCTTCTCACAAATGAGCGACATGAAATTAAAAACAAAATATATGTTTGGGGTTTATATTTGCTTGTAGCAGATGAAAATTGCCAGTAACAAATGAGGCACTTAATTAACTAAATAAAGTTATTTTTACTTTCGAATATTTGTATGTTTATGTGTATGTATATAATATATAAAAATAAATGAGTGTTGGCATTAAGACCAGTCCGCGGTGTATGTGAAATCTTGGAAGAACATTTGCTCCTCATCAGTCAAGATACGGGGTTCCTTTGGTGGAGTTAATTGCGGTTTCTCAGATGTAAATTCTTCATCGAAATTTGACACATCTTCCAGATGATTCTACAATAAAAACAAAAAACACCCGGGAAGTTACAAGGTATTCTATTCTTTGAATATGAAATTTAAACTTACTATAGTTGGTACAAACGGTGGTTTAACTTTACGCAGTAATAAATCATCCCATACAATCGTTCGGAAAAATGCTTGTTTTTTCACATCCTCGGCATCTCGTTCAGACGAACCTAAACGTCTTTCTGGGTTTTTACGTAGAAGCTGAATGTTTGAAGGTAAAATGGTATTTACAATTTGTGACCTAAACAAATAATGTCAGCTTGATAAAACTTACCCTTCGCATAATTGCTATAGCTTCTAGAGATAAAAATCGTGGATAACGAACTTCATCATTAACAATAGAATCGAAAACTTCTTCTTCGTCATCTCCAGGGAAGGGAGACTGAATATTTTTAATATCGCAATATATTATTAGAATTTTATAAATGTATAAATGATTTATTTATTAAATCTTACCTCTCCCACCAGCATTTCAAATATTAACACACCCAAACCCCACCAGTCAACTGCTCTAGTATATGAAGTTTCCGTTAACACTTCAGGTGCTAAAAATTCGGGTGTACCGCAAAAAGTTCCAGTACGATCTCCGAATCCCATGCCTTCTTTGCATAAACCGAAATCAGCAATTTTCACATAACCTATGAATCATTTAATTCAACATATTTATTAATTAAAAACGAAATTAAATAATTTGTATTTGTCTATTTAATATACAATATTACTCAATAATACTACTTACCATCTGTGTCCAACAATAAATTATCCAATTTTAAATCGCGATAAATAATTTTATTTTCATGCAAATACTGTAGACCTAGAACTACACAAGCCGCATAGAAGACAGCACGCGGTTCCGTAAATACATCCGTGTGGATATGCATCATTAAATCTCCACCGGCAGCATATTCCATTACAAAACATACGTGTTGCTAATAATTTATAATGTACAATTTATTAATAGGATTTTTTGAATGGATATAAGAACGTCCAGCAGACTTACCTCTGTCTGAAAGCAGGCATACAAATTAACTAAAAATGGATGACGCATAGCATTGGCCACCTCGAAAATACGTTTCTCACTCAATAACGACTCAACTTCATCTCTAGCAATGATATCGCCCTTTTTCAAGGCTTTTATTGCATAATATTGGTTGTTAGTGCGAAGCTGACACAATATCACTTTGCCGAAATGACCACGACCCAAGACGCTCAACATACGGAAATTGTCCATTGAGAGAATACCGGGCGATGTAATGAGGCTTTGCGACTGGCGTCTTGATTCATAGGCCGAATCACGATATTGTAAGCCTCTGGCGACATTGCGACGAGCATTCTGTTGACTTACTGCTGAATTTTGTAATTCAAATTGATTTTGATAAATCGGCTGTTGTTGTTGATTGTGTTGTTGCTGCTGCTGCTGATAAGATGCTGCCGCCTGAGGTGACTGATGATAATTCTGTCGCTGAGCAGGCTGAGGAAACTGCGGTACAGATGCCTCGCTTGCCGATACATGGCCTCCATAAATAATTGGTGTTGGAGGTTCCTGTATTATTGGCGATGATTGCGACTGTTGTAAATAGTGCTGCTGTTGTTGTAAATTGTTGTTGCTTATAGAAACGTTGCTAAATTGTGGTATAACCTAATATTTAAAACATTTAACATTAATAATATTGAGGTAGCAAGAGGCGTAGGCAAAAAAGAAACATACTCAGACAGTGCTAAATAGTTAATGTAACAAATATCTTCATGCCTAAGGTTTAGTTTTGGGTATTTATTTGGATATAAATATGTATAAATATTACGTTTGATTGTATTATATAATGTCTTTATTATTTAATACATATCTCGATCGATTTAAGTGTTTTTCTATTCTAATAATCATATGGAATAAACCAAACATTAAGGATATAACATTTTCATTATGAACTTTGATGAAAATTGTAAATAATTTTTAAGTTGTTTAAAATTAATTTTGATAATAAGATAAAATGACAGGAAGATCATATATCTTCATGATCAATATTGCATACTATTGACTTTTAATATATGTACTATGTACATAAATAATTGAAAATATGTATATACATATATATAGGCCTGTCACACATTCCAATTGTAATAATTAAAATTCCGTAATTACTCCATTTTTTAAATCGACAAAGTTAGTGTAAATAATGCGTTGGAAAACCCCATATTTTCGAGTTAATATGAAATAACATTTTTGTGTTTTTGTTGTTCTCGCAATAGCTTTTCAACAATTGTGTTTATGTTTTGTGGATTTTAACAACAAAATGGCTCACCAAGCCATGCAATTCATTAAATAGCCGGGTCTTATTCATATCATGTGCATAAGATTTGGAATTTTTCGTTTTTAACCTTCTCATTTGAAAATACTTGAATAACAATTATATAGCAATTAGAAAAATAAACTACTTTTCAGGTTATTATGTTAAAAACCATTATAAAACTTATCTTCTAAAGGAAAATTTTGGAAAAGTTCCAAGTTATATTCAAAATGTATTTGGGAAAAATTAATATATATGTATGTATTTGTTACTTCGAATTTATGATATATTTATAAAGTAATTTATATTTGTTAATATAATAATCATCTATTATCTGGTTACTAATTAATCATTTTTATATCCTTAACCATAAGTGGACTCATCTATATATTTACAACACATATGTACATACATATGTATGAATAAGTATTGTTTATTCTTACGTGTAAGTGTCAAAGTATTAATTTGCATTTTTCTATATGCTACTACACCACCACAAATATAGAAAGAATTTTGATTTTGTCCTAAATTATAATTGTCGATTTTTATATTATATCAACGATATGGGACAATTAACAAAAATATCTTGCATTACTGCAGAGATATACAATTTTCTAAAATAATTAAACATTTTCTAATTAATTCCTTTTTAGAAATTGATAAAATGATATAATATAATACAGGGTTTCAGGATTTATTACCTTCGTTTCTTCTATAGTTTTATCTTCATCTTCTACATTAGCAATAAAATATTCAACAGTACTAGTAAATGTTGTTGCCACATTAGATGGCGATGTAAGTGATGTTGGTCGTGATATTACTGTTGTAATATCATCGGGTTTTAAAGCCAAATCAGAATTATTTGCAGTAGAATTCGTGTCCAAGTGTAGAGGTATGGTAGGTTCAATTGTTATATGAACAAGATTAATATGAGCCTGTAAGATTTGTTGGTTTATATTTATATATGTATATTTTTTAGTAAATCTGTATTTAATACACATTTGTTTATGTATTATAAAACATGGTATGACATTATGAATTTAATTAACATAAATCAACAAAAATATATATGTATATTTATGTATGAATAACGGACAGACAAAGGTTAAACAATCAATTTGAAGTCGGGGAAGTGGTAGTTTATACAAATAAATGTGATGAAGTAAGTGAATAAAACAAAAAACAATTACAGTAACAAATATGCATACATATGTATATATCCACTGATGTGAAAATCAATTTACTAAACCCTATTAGAGTGGGAATTCCTACTTAAAACTTGAAAATTTTAAAAATTTTAACAAAAAATAATTATTTAAAAAGAAAAAAGAAAAAAACTGTTAGATATTTATTCATTTCTTTTCTATTTCATTTCAATGGGGTTTATATTTTTATCATATAAAGCACAAAAGTTTTTCAGCTTTGCAAAGTAACAACTATGCATAGTTATGTTCAACCTAAACTTTAGATCCAATATTCAGATCTTTAAAATATAGTATTGTATTATTTAAATTACAGGTTAGTTAAATTTCTTTTTAGAAATTTAGTTAGTGAATGTTTTATGTTACAATTTTCGTTAAATTATTAGACAACAACTGAGTTATGAAAAATATAAACAACATTTGGACTGATAAGCATTATTAAAAACACACAATAACACAAATAAAACGTTTAAATAGAAAAAAAAACAAAAGGAACAAAATCAGACTGTGAAAATTTTGAATTATTGAACATTTAACAGCCTACACTACTCTTTAATAAGACATTGATGAGAGCTGAAATGAACACAGTAAATTTAATCTATGTAGTTTGCAGTTACGATGGCATCACTAAAAATGATCCACGTTCTCAGCTAATTTTTTGGATACTTTTTATTTATCTTATAATGAAATTTCTAACCAATTGCAAATTCATTGCTATTGATGCATTAAACATTTAAAAACATTTACTATTTAATAAGCTGATTTTTTAGCTGAGAACATAAACCGCTTTTTTGGTGACATAAAATTAAGGCCATTCTAAAAACTATAAGCTATAATTTGTTAATTACAAATTATATTTATTAGTATTTTTAAAACAAAATAACCAAAACTAAAATGCATAAAATTAAAACTTATATAAATATTATGCAAAAAAAATATTAAATTAGAGTTTTTTTTTATCTAAAGATTTTGTTAAAATTGAACACTATAACCAAAATATACAATTATTTTGCATAATATTTTTCTAAGTTTGCATTAATAAAAATAACTAAAAACAAAATAATAACTTCGAACCTCTACTTGGAAACCGTCGCCAACGCCTATACTATATTGATGACAAATAGTGTTGTCTTCATCTTCCGGATATTCAACAATGGGAGCTGGGGAAGGGGGCATTTCAATTATGGGACTACTCATGTCATGACTTTGATCGCCACCCATTAACACAACTGGTGGCATTGCTAGCACAGGCCGATGATAATAATCATTCAAGACATATGGACTGGCTGCTGTGACTGCAGGTGACGACTGTTGCTGCTGCGTCTGTGTTTGGGACTGTTGGATATTTATATTTAAGTGAGGTTTATTTTGAGATGTACTTCTCATTACAAAATGACAATTGCTATCGTTACTACGTTCGTTGTTGCTGCTGTTATTATTGTTATTGTTAGCAATATTTGTTATTTGATTTGTTTGATTAGCAACAGTTGGGGAAAATGATACAGTTGATGGCGATGCTGGACTTTCTGGAACTTGGGAAACAAATGATTCTGATGCTGCGACTGATGGCGATGACTGATGATATGTGAACGAGGGCAACTGAGGCTGGTTCGGAAGGACATTCTGATATTGTACAACTTGATGTTTAGTTGAGGCAATATAGGTCTGTGGCAACAATTGTTGCGAAGGCTTTTGAGTTGTCTGTAAAGGATGCGTTTGTTGCGACTGCTGTTGTTGTGGCAGCTGTTGGCGTTCTTGGGGACGCTGTAAAGTATTAGGTTGCGAATCCAATTGATTTAAAAAGTCAAACTCACTCAAGACACTTTGTAACTGTTGTTGTGTCGACAATTGTAAACGGACAAAAATTTTCAAATTGTATGTATGTAGGAAGGTAAATAATATAAAGAATCAAGAAGGAAGAAAATAATAAAACAAGCAAAACATTGTACAAAATACGCAAAATAAAATAAAACAAAACGGCAAAAACAATAGGTACATATGTATGTAAATATTAAGCGGAAACATATGTATTTATGCAGTATGTATATATAGAAAAGGAAACAGAATACTATAAAATATCTAAGTACATTTATACATCATCCGTAACCTTTATATACCTACTTGGGGAAAATATTAACATTTCTAAGCTCAATTAATTATAAATTTATTTGCTTTACGTTACGTAACACCAGTTACCACAACACCGAACATTTTTACAATGTACCAAATGAAACACAATATTGTCTATACATTTAATAGCTTTCTAATAATCGAGCCCAACTTGTTAATGGTATATGGTTGGCAAACTTAATTCTTCGATTCTACTCTATCAAGTATCTGTGTAATAGTATACGTGGTTCCTCTACATGTAAACATATATATTGCTAATTAAGTTTTATAAAAATAAAACGTCTTGAAAAAATTAACGATTATTTATTAAAATCATCCTAGATTTTCCTTATAAGCTGTATTTTGTCTTAATGAAATTAAGAAAAAACTGTTTTTAAATGTTTACTAGGCTTTAAGAACTTCACTCTGTTGGAAATAATAAACTTTAAGAAATCATAGCAATGTATCTAAGAATTAATACAAAATGTTTATTTCCTTTTTTTGAACTTGTTTAATTTGCGAAAAATATAGGTTCAAATAAAAAATCAACAATTGAATTAAATTCTTCTACACCTCAAAGTGTTTTTTAATGAAATTTATAAAAAAATATTTAATAATGCAACCCAGCTAAAATTTAATTAACTACATATGTATGTATGTTGTATGGACATTTAATCGAGCTACTTTTTTGATAATAGTGATATATTGTAGTATGTAAGTTGATATGTACATGATATTTTTTTTTTAAATGCAGTCAAATGTATAGAGAATAGGAAATGTTAGAAGCACATGCGTTTTTATACTCGTATTTTAATGTTGGGAATTTAAATATTAAAATTAAAACGAAAAAACTTACCTCTTGATCCAATTTAGGCGGCAAAGATGTCGGTATTTGTGGCGGTAGTACATCAGTTGGTGTATTCTGCTTCGAGCCACTTGTTGGTGGTTTTGGTATTGGATTGGGTTGTGAATTTTTGCCCACTATATTCAAATGTAGATTATTGTTAGCAGCAACGGTATTTTGTGGTTTCTGAGGTTGCTGGGGCGAGGTAATTTCTGGTGGTAACGCAGCAATACCTTGCATTGACAATGGACGTTTGCCACTAAGACCAGAGACTGCAGGGTCAGGGATTTCCCCAGGCGTTTCAACATGTTCAATAATTGGCTCTTCCGGTTCGCAGTGCATATTTTGAGCTAAAACTCCAGGAGAATATGGTTCTGGTTCTTGGTTTATAGTGCCAGAAGATGGAGTACGGGATATGGGTGATTCGCTGGATTCCCTTGCTGGATTGGAAATCTTTCCTCCAGCCAGATTAGAATTTGATGGAGCATTTCTTTTGAGCAAACGGCCCCACGTTGCAACATTTATGTTCATTTGCTTGGCACGTGGAATATTTTTAACCTGCTGCTTGTTGAATATCATACGTTGACGTTGCAACTTGGGTTTCTGTGAAATCATTGGATTTAAGAACTTTATCTCAGCAAACAGTAGACCTTGCGGCTCCAATTGCAGAGCCATACCATGCCGAACATCATCAATAAACTCCTCCAAACGTAGGAATTTTACGGCACACAAAGAACGCCAATCACGCCAGTATACGCCGATTTCCAGTTCACGGGAGCGATCTAGATCAATAGAGAATCTTTGATCCCATGCTTGTTGCGAACATGGTTTCCAAGACGTTTGAGCCACAGTCATATTGTCTAATTTTATAACGGCCATAATTTCTGACGATGTTTCATCTTTGACCGAATAGCTCTTGGAACTGCTACGCGATGTAACACCCTTGACAAAACTTCGCAAATCTCCAGGACTAGAATTGTTGTCTTTATCACGACGAGATCTACCGGGGACATCTTCCAAGAGGCCCTGGCAGCCCATTAAACGTACTTCTAGCTTGCCAGTAACACTGGCACATCGACCTAGAGTAGATACCTGCTGGTATGGTTTACCGCCTAATAAACCACCATGAAACGGTTGCAGGGAAGTGTAATTAAATGGTACGGGGGATGAGGCTTGTTGAACCGATTGCAATTCGCACTTCAATTGTTGAGCTGCTGTTGAATCTGCTGGTAGTTCTAGACGTCGCAAATCCAAAGAATGACGCAATAAGTCCAACTTTCGAGATGATTCCGATAAACGGACATGTGCCTTTGAATTTTGTTGAATGAAAATGTTAGAATATAATTTGAACTTTAAAACTACTCTTGGTTTCTTTTAAAAACGACTTTTCAATCTTTCCAATTATTTCCTTAATATATAGAAATACATATATATATACTTACCTAAATGTGTAGTACTTCAAACTAGACACTAATTCAAATTAATATTTCCTAATTATACATGAAATATAAATATTATCTAAGTTATTTAGGTACTTTATTTTCGAAATTGAGAAGTAAAAATTTCCAATGAAATATTTAACACAGTTATAAATATTTAAAACTTTTAATTTGATTCATAATAGATTTATTTCTGTTAGTATTACAACATTACTATAATTTAAAAAAAAAATCTTAATCTAATGTAATTGTTAGGGTTAGGATACAAAATTGAAATTGGTAAATGCACGAGAAAATTCTAATAATTTATTAAGTAGTATCTATCAGATTGGCAGTATGTATTTATTTTATTACTTATTATGAGTAAGTAAAGCATTATGTAGCTCTTTTTAAAACCGGCATTTCACCCAGAGAAAAAACTCGTCCACGTATTTGGAAACGTTCTGCTAGCCATCTTTGACAGCTTTCACAAGAACAATTCGGATTTTTTGTAGGGCCAACGTGGTGACCAGGTTTACGTGCAGCTACAACCTTGCCAAACATCTTAGCCTTGTCAAGGTATTCCGAGGAATATCCCAAAGGTGGTGGCTGTGTGGATGCCTCACTGATAGCGGGGCTGGGGCGATTATACATATCAAAACGTCTAGCTGGAGTGGGTGTCGTTATGGGAAAAGTAATGGCACTAGTAGTACTAGGTGGCGCTTCACTACCACTACGTTGGAAATTTATATTGTAGGGAGGCGGAGTTTGATGAGGTAGAGGTGGTTGTGGAGACGTTTGCCTACTTAAATCAGTAGGTGTTAATACTGGTGTACCAGAAGCCGATAAGTTGTCTCGCGTTTCGCTTTTCCAGCGTTGTAAACCAGCACCATAATTTGGATAGAGTAATGTTGATTCCTTATTCTGCAGTTCAGGAATAGATTGTTGTTGTTGGGACAACATATCTACGTTAAGAGTTTGCGATTGTTCCAAATGCGGACCAAAAAATTGTAGAAATCCTGGTTTATTTCTCGGAAAATGCGAGGTCTGCTGAAATTTATAATTTGAAACATTAACGGGCGACGACCTATTGAAGGTTTCATTTGAGTACGATGAATTTTGGTCTGTTTCAGAGACGATTTCTATTTGAGTCGGTAAAGTATCTTGCTGATGAACTATTGATGTACTTGGAGATTTTCTTTGGAAAGTTGTAACCTCAGAAATGCTTTGTAAATGACTATTTCCAGGTTGGTGCAACTTGGATTCGTCTTCATTTGAGTGACTTCGGGACCATAATCGTTCCATTTGTCGTATTCTTAAACGATCCAAAGCATTTTCGTATTCAAAACTATCAGATTTTGCTAAAGAATAGGAAAGATCTTCAAGTTCATCAGTTTCTTTACATGAAGTTTCAGTGACATCTTGTCCAGCTAAGATACTAGATATGCTGCTACAAGTGTTGTCACGAACTGTCGACCTTGATGAATTTGGATAGCCTAAACTTAAGGTATCATCTGAAGATTGCCGTAGATATTTTTGTCGAAGATTCTGAAGCTTTACAGCTCTCTGATCGCCAACATGTTTCCGAAACAATAACTGTTTTGATTCATGAATCTCTTCAGCAGTGCTTGACTTCGTTATAGCATGACCTATATTTATATTCTGTGAGCTATCAGATTTTTGGCTAGGTAGCTTCGTGGCATTATTTTCAGCTAATCGACGGGGCAGAGAGCTTCCCGTTATTCTCTGATGTCTTAAGCGTATTTGTTCATTATCCAAAACAGTTTGAAATGTTGAATTTGATTCTTGATCAAGTCTTTTATCGTCTTCAGAATCCGAACTAGATTCTGCATCGGCTTGATCGTCGTCCTCGGAACCAGTACAATATACATCGATATGAACTGTACGTGGTTTCTTTTGGGCCTCTGAAGCCGTCAATGTGGGAAAACAATTGTCATCAATTTTACTTTCCACACCGCCTCCCATCAACGAAGAAACACGAGGTAACGAAGACGACTTGGACGTTTGAATCGGTGAAGGTATATAGGAAGGCTATGTAAAAAAATAAATCGATACTAGTTTTACCTTCTAAATAAAAATTATTATTTTTACCATATGAGAGTGTTCCTCACTGATACGGCCTCTAAATCCGGGCTGCTGTAGCAAATCATCCACTGTAGCTCTTCTATAATCATATGATCTTCGTGAATCTCGTCGCTCCAAAGGACTTCGCTTACGTTCATGTTGAACAAAATATTTCATTTCAGTGTCACTAGTTTGACAAACCGCATCGCGTAAATTTAAATGTTTAGCTCTTTCTGAATACGAAGCCTGGTCGAAAAACTGTGTTTAAAAACAATATTATGTTATATACGATACGTTTTACAGAAACAGTAATTGCTTTAACCAAAAATGCCAAACTTCATGAAATCATTTATTATAAAGCGTTTGATTGCAAATATATCGCATTTAAATTATATTAAAAAAAATAGTTTTCAAATTAATCAATCTAGTGGGATATTCATTTTTTCAATATCAAATAAATGATTTCAGTGGTTTGACAAGTGGTTTCCTCCCATTATTAGCGTACAATGAAATTAGTTTAAACATTTTGAATTTTTTCAAAATTCGTAATCCGAAAAGATTGGAAATTCATATAACAATTTCAAAAATTATGTATGTATGTATATGAATTTTTTTCTTGTGTTCATTGTACGCAATCCTTAAAGATTACACAAAATCTACCTTTTCGGGTTGCACAGTGTAACTAGCTGTGGTGTTGAATACAAATGGCTTCGAATCCATTTCAGTATTTTCAATAGATATATTATCAATTGTTTGCATGTCAGTGGGAGATAAGAAATCTGCCACAGCAGTAACTATAATGTTACATGTGCTGCGGCATCTGGTACCGTAAAAGTTTGTTAATGAATCTTTAACTTCAGTGGTCAAAGAGTCATTTTGAGGTTTATTTGAAGTGTTCGAACCACTAAATGCAGAATCTCCTCCACCGATATCACCGCAAGTCATTGATGATGTTGTGGAACGAAAGCTCTCTCCTTTCTGAACATCTGATGGGTTTGTATTCTAAAAATGCGCGTGTACGGAAGACATTAAAAACGAATTAAAATAAGAAATACTAACAGTTATGTATGTTGTAATATCACCTTCATAGGATCTTGAGAACGTGCTGAAGATCTAGAAGAAGTTCTTTTAAATAAATCCGATGTTTTGTCGTCATCATATTGTGTACCGCCTGCCGTTGTATTGTCATCAATTTTACTCCATTTATAAAACACTCGTACAGGATTGACTGTGTCATTTGTACTAAATTCCTTCTTAACTGCTTCCCCAGCTCTGGCAAATTTCAATTGAGCGCTAACTGTCCATTCTGCCGTTAATTCATGCGGCATAGGTGGTCGTTGCGTTGAATGATTTTGTCGAAAATCTTGCGAACTTATACAACCGGCCCCCGCCTCTGATCCTTTATCATCAGTGGCTGGCGGTGGCTGCTCACGATTGCTCATTTTAAAATTATATAGAATTTGTTTAAAATATCATGTTTTTTTGCATCACTATTTGCTTTCTTTTTGTTTCATTTGGGTACTTTTTTTCCTAAAGATCTGTTTATATTTATTTTATTTTGGGAACACTTCTTCTTCCCACACAAGCAACACTTGGTATATATTCACCTTTATGGTTTATCTTGGCCACTCAAGATTCAAAATGTTTCATTATGTCTTTTTCAAGATGAAAAAAAAGTAATAAAAAACACAAAACTAGGGCGTATTTTAAACATACTATAGGTGTATGGAGGTATGTGGTTATAGCAGTGGTGACCAGCAGGTTTTCCAATTAATTGTTTATTTCAGGTATAAGTTTATTTTTAAAATTTATTTCTTCATGTACATTTCACTTAATTATCAATGAAACGATTCATTTTGTACACTTTCAGATTTATTCATTTTTTAAAAAGAACTTTTAATATTATTTTTGAAATGTATTTTATATTTATTTTTGTTTTTAAAACATTGGTTACCGATCCGAAGCAGTTAAGTGAAAACGGTATCTTTAATTCAGATTACGGATTTTGTTAATTATATGTTATCGATAACGTTATTTCGGTTAAAGGAACTATTTTTGTATTATTTCAGTTTTATTGAATATAATAGGTCTAAATAAAGCTATATAGCAATAAAAAACTCTATTAGAATTTATTTGCTATAATTATTAAGGATTTTATATATTTTAGATTTTCTTTAAAATTTTAGTTATGCAAAATTATTAAATAAACAAAGAATTATACTTGAACTTTTATCGTTTTCTTAAAGAAAAAGATCACATTAAATAAAAGTTAAGAAGCTTTTGCACAATCGCTTGTGCCAGAATACATACATACATACAAATGAATGTATGTACATAGATGTTAAGAGAAAAATAAATGAAATTAAAAGTGAAAATTTATAATATTAGAACAAGAAATTATAATAGAAATATAAATGTATGTCGTAGCAAATAAAAATTAATATTTTCACATGACCTACTATACGCTTTGTACGTACATACATACATAATACATGTGTATGTCTGTTTGTATGTATATAATAATTTCGAAAATTGAATACATGCGTCCGTACATATGCAAACATCTTAAAAATAATATTAAAAGCTTTTTTTGGGACAATACGAATAATTTTATTTAATTTTAGTTTTCTATATTTTGTAAAATTCACGTTTTTTCATATTTGGAATGTAATTTCCTTTATTAATTATCATGTATTATTATGCAATAGTTTTGTTTTTATATTTAATTACGATTTATATTTTATAAACACTTTTATGCATATTCAACTTTATTTTTTATTAAAAACATATGTTTTTGTACGGTTACTACTGATCATTTTGAAAGCTCATTTGGAAAAGAAATTCACAAAAAAAGTTTAGTAAAAATATTGAAAATGTTTCGAACAACACCACGTCTCGCGTGCAACTGATTTGAATGTGACTGTAGAATTTGTTGTGGAAACAAGTGTTGAATTTTCTTTTGCTCCCAAAATAATGTATACATATAGAAACGTTCATATATGTACATGCGAATGTGTATATATGTATATATTTTTGGTTTTGATATTTTGAAATCAGTGTATAAATGCCGGAAAATGTTTCACTTTTAATCGACACAGGAAATTTAATTTGTTGCTAAAACGAAATCATTAACCCTAAATAATAGATTTTGCAACTCTTCAAATTAAAGCTTAAGTTAGAAACTATGTTTGTTTCCTTAAGTACTAAAATATCGATCGTTATCCTAAATTTAGTAATTATTTAATAGCCAAATTTTCAACATTTCAAAAAATTTAAGAAAATTACATTTTCATTTTACACTTACAGTTAAACTTAAATTTAAAAATAGAACCCCACTATAAATAACTTTTTCTACTACTCGGAAAAAGCTCACTCAAAATCGATATAATTGTTTTTAATTAAATTCCAAAATTTTAAAAGTAGCAATCTTTATTAAATGCAGGAGTAAATAAATATGAATATTACTTTAAGTTCTACGCTTTCAACATCGTCGATTTTGCAATAGTCAAAGATTTAGGTTAATTGGGCCGGAATTGTATATAAATAGCAAATAGTGTGAAAAATATGACGTAGAAATCATGACAACGTCAATACATAGTTTTCATATTTGATGTTGTCAATAATACTCTCTTTAGAAAGAAAAACGAAGAAAAACGTTACACATACTTATATATTTTTACCGAATCCACACGAAATATATTTTTATTTACGACATCATTTGTGACAGATATGTTCATTAGGGTGGGATATAAGCAAATTTTTTGGCATAGTACAACACTTTGGCCAATGATCTTTTTATAAAATATGAAATTATTTTTGGTTTGATATATTTTGGAACAAAAGTGTTTTCTAAAACGAAAAACAATTTAAAAAATTATAATACTAATTTTTTGTGTGTTTGTTCTATTTTTTACATCCATCCGATTCAGCTCACTTGACATTTCTTTCACCTAGGTCATTATGGTAGGATCTGAACATACATTAATAATTTTTATTAAAAACGTCTAGTTATTATGCCAGGTATGGAAATTTCAGTACTTTTAGATATCGAAATATACCGCGGTACTCCGACGACATTTCTGATACTTTTTCTAACTTATAAACTTTTGATAAGTAGACTATAGTCTAGTTTATAGTCTAGTCTGTTTATGTCTAGTCTATAGTCTAGTCTATAGTCTAGTCTATAGTCTAGTCTATAGTCTAGTCTATAGTCTAGTCTATAGTCTAGTCTATAGCCGAGTCTAGTCGAGTCTATAGTCTAGTCTATAGTCGAGTCTATAGTCTAGTCTATAGTCTAGTCTATAGTCTAGTCTATAGTCTAGTCTATAGTCTAGTCTATAGTCTAGTCTATAGTCTAGTCTATAGTCTAGTCTATAGTCTAGTCTATAGTCTAGTCTATAGTCTAGTCTATAGTCTAGTCTATAGTCTAGTCTATAGTCTAGTCTATAGTCTAGTCTATAGTCTAGTCTATAGTCTAGTCTATAGTCTAGTCTATAGTCTAGTCTATAGTCTAGTCTAGTCTAGTCTATAGTCTAGTCTATAGTCTAGTCTATAGTCTAGTCTATAGTCTAGTCTATAGTCTAGTCTATAGTCTAGTCTATAGTCTAGTCTATAGTCTAGTCTATAGTCTAGTCTATAGTCTAGTCTATAGTCTAGTCTATAGTCTAGTTTAGTCTATAGTCTAGTCTATAGTCTAGTTTAGTCTATAGTCTAGTCTATAGTCTAGTCTATAGTCTAGTCTATAGTCTAGTCTATAGTCGAGTCTATAGTCTAGTCTATAGTCTAGTCTATAGTCGAGTCTATAGTCTAGTCTATAGTCTAGTCTATAGTCTGGAAGAATAACCTTAAAATACATATGTCGTCTGCCTTAGAATAGAATCTACAGGGCTACAGATGAATAGTTACCAATCACATCTTGAAAGGAAGAAAACTCAAAAGATTTAGTTATTATTAAGTGGAAGAAGAACTTTTTCTGATACCCTACAGTATCCTCTTTTTATCTCCTTCTCCTTTTTATTTCCACTCTACTTAAATAAAGTTAGTTCGCAACACTTTTCATGATGTACTTATCGATAACGGATTCAATCGAGTGATATCCGCTTTTTAATTTTTATGCTACTAAAATAGCGATCAGATTATTAAAAATATTTAGATAATTTTTGCATTAAAAGTTTTAATTTTATTTTTCATTTATTTAAAAGTAGCAAATAAAATGTGAAAGATTTATATTTCGTTATATTATTAAGAAACCAAGAGTAAATACGTTTGAAAAATGTTAAACAAATGTTAAAAATAACTTTCACTTACCTCTTGCAACGCCTTCTTATCTGGTACTTTTCTATTTTGCAATATACGTATTACATTTTTAGCTCCATCAACAACAGCTGCCTCGATACGTAAACGATGTCTCAGTTCTTCGATACGCTCTTCAAGTGATATTTCTAAACGTTGCGGAGATACACAACCAGCAACTGAACCATTTTCATTTGCGTTAGCTGTGATTTGTTGTGATAATTTTTGGGCATGCTCTTTATTTTGTTTTACCTTCAATATACGCAAACGTAAGAATTCAATTTTGGCTTTTGAATCCGTTAGCATTTGTTGAGCTTCTGCTAATAGTTTTTTATCTCTGCCGTAGTGTCCACTCTGAAGAGATTGTATCATATTTTCAGCCCCATTTTTCACTTTCATTTCAATGTTTAGTTGTTTTTCTAATGATATGAGAAGCTTATCATTGGCGCTCAGTTGTTCATGACCGCTGGAAATAAGACCGCCAACACTACCATCATTTGTAAACTGGGAACTGCCGCTTAATCTGACATTATTTGAGCTTGGCGAGAGAATATCTGATAATAAAAGAAACACACAACCGAAGAACAGTTTTAGATTAAGGAATCTCCATTTTTCTATTTTATACATTGCATAAATAATGGAATTTGTTGATATTTTAAAATGAATCCTAATTTATAGTCTAAATAAGTATTACTGGCTAAAATTTTAAAATATGTCTCACTATATTTCGAAAAGTAACCCCAAAATGCACTTGATCACAAAAGGCAAGACTAATACCATAAGAAAGTAACACCCTAATACTACGACTATTAAAACTATCCTTTCTTAAAAAAAACAAAGATGTGATCAACGAATTTATAGCAATGTTATATATATACTTACCACGATCATTATGTGACACGACTGTATTACCTTGTGTTAGTAATATTTGTGATTCTAGCTCTTGCAGCTCAGATTTTAGCTCAGCTATTTTACTATTACTTTTCTTAACAATGGCAGCAACATCGTTTAAAGAACGACGATCTTTAGCAACTTCTCTTAATTTCTCAGCCCCTTCTTTGATTTTCAACTCTTTACGAATCTCTCGTCGTATTGCTTCTTTGATTTCTTCAAGACGACTGGGTAAGGCGCTTTCTGGTAAATTATCTGTGAAACCATATTTGTAGCTAAGCTCATATAGTACAGGGTGTTTTATATATTCTCCCTAAAATAAAATAATTGAAAGAAAATAAAATAATTAATAATAGTTGGTATGTATTGAGTAAAATTAATGTAAAAAATTACACAAAAATAAAGAAATTCTGTACATGGTTTAAATTTTAAGCATAACAACAATAAATGTGTATATAGTTCCAAATTTTGTAATGCGATAAAAAAAAAACAAATTAAAGTCAATAAGAACCATGATAAAAACTACTAACTTTTCTAAAAGAAATTTGTAAATAATAATAAATAACTTCGCTTAATTTTATATATTTAAAAATAATAATTTGTGATGAAATGCAATTCCTTGGTCTCCAAGGAATTACAATTTCTAATAATAAAATTTTCGCAAATTTTATACGTATATTTTAAGTAAATTTCTACATTATAGTTGAAGTCCATGAAGGTCTTAAGAATCACAATAAGCAAGATAATTATAAAAACTGATTTTTATAACTTTTGACCCCCAATATCTTTCTTATCATATATGGTATTAAAAGTGACTTTTAGCCCTTTTATAGAGACCCAAGACGAAGCCCTGCGTCAACTTTCATTAAGCTATCTAAAATTACCGAGTTTGTTCATTTTGTCAACTAATTTTCCTGGGCTAAACCTCCGATAGGTTAGTGGTTAGTGTTCTAGTTTGGTAGAACGGAGATGGTGTGTTCGATTCTTACCTGAGGCACTGGTCAAGAAGCGCACAACAGCCCCGATATAGGCCTAGGTTTATTTCTTCGAATTTGATGTATATACATCCTCCTTTCAAACTACCTAACTACTCCATTAAAGTAATTCCAAAACTACTCCCCTGTAAACATGATTGGAGTACGTGATCCGTTAAGTAGTCTAACGTAATGCAGGCATGGATCATGTTTATTCTTTTCATAACAACATGGTCTATAGCCTGCGTTACTTAGGACCATGTTGCAGATCATGCATTTCTATAATTTTAGCAAGGGAGTAGTTTTGAGTTTACTCTGACGTATCAATGAAAATTGTTGTATGCTTTTTTGCATATATATGGATAAGCTTTGGGCCAGTCCTATTCTTTCGAGACCTACTCTTTATACGCGAGTGTGGCGTATTCTCAATTTTTATAGGGAAGTAAAAAGTTTTACGAATAATAAACATTTTTAAAATTTCATTCTCGTTGTTATTTGTGTGTTCATAACAATGCAATTAAAAGTTATATTCTAATCTAATTTACCGACCAGGGTAATGCGACCATACATGAGTTGTAGCGAAGCAGATCAGAGTTTCAGGTGGAAATCGAACCCACAACAATACTACCAAACTGGCATGGATAATTTAAATTATGAAATAGTGCTAACTTTTTCTAAAAAAGTACTTTTTGGTATTAAAATTACTAGATTACTTTTCGCCTTTCTTATCTATTGTTTAGTTTACTTATTGGTCTATTGTCTGCTTTATTGACAAGTCTATGGTCTAGTCAATGGCCTAGATCATGGACTGTTTAATAAAATGGTATATGAATTAGTTAATTAATTAGTCTATGTACTACTCTTTTGACTAGTGTATGGACTAGTCTATGAACTTTTCTATTTTATTGAATAGTCTTCGGACTAGACTTAGTATTAAATTGTCTATGAACTAGTCTGTTGACTACTGTATTTACTAGTCTATGAACTGGGCTTTTTACTAGTCGATTGACAATCTATGGATCTGTCTATCGAATAGTATACTGATTAGTCCATAAACAAGATTATTGATTAGTCTGTAGAGTAGTCTATTAATAGACTATGATCTAGTTTATTAACTTTTCTATGAATAAATCTTTTGATTAGTCTATGGACTGGTCTATTGATTAGTCTCTTCGCTAATTTACTATATAGTCTATGGACTTCTTCGAAAAAATGCATATTACAAAAAAGCTCTTAGTTTGTGGGGCACTATGCTATTGTTCATTGTCAAAAAGTACTAGTCATATTTCCGCATACACCGATAACGAAGTATCAAACATTTGCGACGAAAACAACTTACTTTTTTCCGTACAAATATATGAAATTTCGTTTTCGGCATAGATTACGGTGTAAGCGGAATGAGCTTAAATAGATATTAGTCCTAGAAATTAGTTCCAATAAAATATTTGCAAAAATTACAAATTAAACCCATATACTATATGTAATTCTTAACATAAAATGTCATCTAGTATAATGTAATCAAATAATCAAATACATATAATGACTAGACTTAAGTTAATTTTGCTTTTTTATGATTAGATAAGTTTACATAAGTAAAAGGGATGGATGGCAATGTAAATAATAAATACATAACAAGTACAATAATATCGAATAATTGGAATAAGTTTAATCAGTACATGAAAAATATGTATACTAAGTACAATGTATAAATGAACATACATATAATTTTATAAAATGGTATAACATTTGTAATATCTTGGTTAGATTTCGACAATCTACAATTATTAAAAGAAATTTGCTAGATTTCTAAATAAATAAGATTTATTCATTGTGAAAATATCTGAGAGATTGATATGAAAAGCAGAGCAAAGACTATAAGCAGCAATAGCAATTTCAGCTGGGAATAGAACCGTAAGCTCAAAAAAAATTTTATGTATTTAAACAGACATTATTATGAAAATATTAAATTTGAGTTATAAGCAAATGAAACGAAATTAACACTTCAAGAGGTTTTAAAATTAGCAAAATCGGGTCAAAAATAACAGAGATATGAAGGAAATTTGCGAACAACACATCAAATTCTAAGTTAGTACCATAATTTGAATCACATTATAATTTGAAAATTTGATGTATGAGGATTCTAATACAACGATACATATTTTTAAATGGTTCCTTTATTCATAAATCAAAACTTTTTTCATTAAAAACTTGTAAATCAGTTTAACCAGCAATACAAAGGTCAAAGGTAAAATTGTCTGCACAATAATGTACACAATTAATCAAAAAAAAAAAAATTGTTTTAAGTCAAATTCGGTTATTTAATATTGACACAAAAAAGTAATAATTATAAACTGTTAATATTGAAGCAAATCTGATAAACTATCAGTTGAAAACAAAACATAATTAAGAATAACAGTGCTGTCAATAATAACTTTATTTTGCACTCTCTGTGTCTCTAATGAATAATTGAGAAAAGTTGAATTACGTTTTTTTTTAATTTAAAAATCATGTATGGAAATATGTATGTGCGAATATATGAATGTACATATCGCCTATTTACTTCAATACTGACATAACTCTAAATTAAATTTTTTTAACAGGGAATTACGACGATTTTTTTAATATTACGAAAATTCGAAAAAGTAGAGTTTTTCAATCCATATTTTTAAAATTATGACATTGTTCTAGAAAATGAGTGAACTATACTTGTTGGTAAACGCGTATGAAAATGAAAAATAAACATAAAAACACACACACACAAATCACAGAGAGTACATAATTACATACACAAATAACAATAGATAATATAATAATAACAAATAAAAGATATAAGGATAATTTTCTAAGACAATGTGATCAGTGTAAATAATACACGGGACCTACAAAACAACAACATACAATATGCACATATGAATCAGTTACAAAAGGAATGATCTCGTAAAGGGGTGACGACATTTTATTACCTCCGTATCAGTATCATAAAACACTGATGAAGCATGTGTGCTTACTGTAACACATACTGTTCCCCGTCTCAAGGACTTGAGCGATCCTTTCGAAATCTTACGAACTCGTATTGACTTCAATGATCGTGAACGTTGTAATTCCATATCAGGCGCAGAATTGTGTCTGGTACGCGTCGTATTTAAAGCGGATATTTCTGAATGGGTTTGTTGATACTTGTTGTGATTTGGGGAAGAGTTTTGGGACGAATTGTGTGTGGTTAAGACACTTAGTTGGTTTTTAATGCGTAAAAATAGGTTATGCATTGGAATAGTGGCAGTTCGTATGGTTATTTAAAATTCAGCTAAAATATTTTAATGCAGAAGATTTCACAACATTTTTTTACGGTAATTTTTTACACAAGAACCGGAAATATACGTTATATACATATTTCTTTCCATTAAAGTTGATTGATACGAGGGTTATATGTAAAGTTTTGGTTACTTATTTATATTTGGTTACTTTGTTTTATTTAAGGAAAATATAAATTGTATTTCCTTCGCTAAAACATTTACATTAAAAGAATTATTTGACTAATTTAGCTAAAACGAAAAGATTTATCAAATGATAATGGTTATTTTTAGATTTAATGTCATTACTAAAACTGCTATCATTTAATTAAGGGAGGATTCGTTGTATCGGAGATATATTGATTTAGTCATTCCGTGTGTGACATATCGAAGTTTTCGTCTACGACTCCTAAAAGTATATGTGTATTCATAATTATTCGTTATTAGGGTCCGCCCGTCCGTTTTTATATGCGGACTGGACCATAATTGATTCTAAACTCATACTAGATCACCTTCAGAGAGTATTTTAAAGCTGATTACTTGTTTTACAGGAACCAAAATCTCTTTGATTCTCTCTCCATAATAAGGTCTCTTCAAAAAATTACTTCATATTTCATGAACACTTATGTATATTTCATTATAGCGGTGAATTCGACAAACACAACTACATATATCAACTACAACTACATATGTATATCACTCTAGCAAGTTTTTTGAGGGTCGGTTCTAAAGTGTTCGAACAAATTGTGATCGAAAAACAAATACTCAATAAAGCTCCTATTCCAATACAGAACTTGCTTTAATGGTAGATATATGAGATTCAGCATAGGCGAATATAAAGCTTTTACTTGTTATAATTGTCTTAATGAACATTAAATGTAAAATAAATCTACTGAAACTCTAGTAGCTCCTAAAACTTCTCAAAACGAAAATGTGATTAAAAGAATTCAAGTAGTCATCAACACTATTGTAATAAAAATACAAATTAGAAGTATGCCTATGACTTTTGTACAACTTTTCCGAATATCGAATCAGCAATTCATGCGGAATGTCTTTTGTTTTAAGAACAATATTGCATATCATGTTGTTATAGGACCAGACCTGGGATAAATGCATTAAATGTGTTAATGCATTAACAATTTATTCTACATTAAAAAAAATTAATGTTAATGTAAGTTTATTGCATTAACATTAACATGGGTACATTTAATGCATTAAATTTGCATTAACATTAAATATTTTTAAATTTAATGCGTTAATTTTACATTAACATTAAATATTTGTGAAATTAATGCATTCATTTTGCATTAACATTAAATATTTTTGAATTTAATGCATTAATTTTCCATTAACATTAAATAATAAATAATAAAATTAATGCATTAATTTTCCATTAACATTAATGTATAAAATAATTTATAAAAATAGGAATACAGCGCTAAAGACCTCGGTCTAACTAAATTCAAGTAAAATTGAATGTGTTAAAGTCCTTTCTAATAAGTCCTATACTCGATAATACATATTAGAAGAATAGTATCACTTCCCAGATATTCCTTTTTTAGTTTATTTTGTTAAAGTCCTTTCTAATATGTACTATACTCGATAATACATATTAGAAGAATAGTATCACTTCCCAGATATTCCTTTTTTAGTTTATTTTGTCTGTGGAATCTCATATAAATATCATATTTAAAACACACAAGTTTGAATAGAATATAGGTGTTATTACAAAGGACTTTATCCTTTTTAATTTTAGTTGTATTTAGTTAGATCGAGGTCTTTTGTGCTGTATTTTTATTTATGTGTATCAATTTTTATATATATTAATGTTAATGGAATATTAATGCATTCATTTTATTGCTTATTTAATGTTAATGTAAAATTAATGCACTAAATTCAGATATATTTAATGTTAATGCAAAATTAATGCATTAATTTCAAAAATATTTAATGTTAATGTAAAATTAATGCATTAAATTCAAAAATATTTAATGTTAATGGAAATTTAATGCATTAAATTTTACAAATTTAATGTTAATGCAATATTTTTTACATTAAATTAATTTTTTTTAATTTAATGTTAATGCAAAATTAATGGAAATCGCCCAGGTCTGTATAGGACTTTATTCAACTTTTCACCCTGATCGGTAGTTATTAAAATGTTTACCCTTCTCCATTAGAAAGGATTTCAGACGGAGCTTGATTCACACTATTTTATATTAAATCTGATCGATCCATACTTCATCTTACCCACCCAATCATCGATTTTACAAAAATTCAGTTTATTATCAAAAATAGATAAAAGATTATGCAATTAAGATAAAATTCCTCAAAAATTATTTTCGCCTTTATTAGATTATTTCGGTAAGAAAGTGCAAATAAAAATGTAAATAAATTTCAACCTATTTTCGTAATAGGAGAGCCATGCCCAAAGGATTAAAGTAAATGTTCAGGAATAAATTGTAACTAAAATGTTTAAACGAACATGTTTCTTACCACCCACCACACAAGATAGTTACAATTAAACAGAAAACATACATACATATGTTCATTATAGCCCTCAATGAAATTCATAAATACATTTCAATAGAGTTGAAAAAAATCTATGTATTCTAATAATTATAACACAATCGATAAATTTTAATTCTGTTGTTAAATGATCCTTATAAAAAAAGGATAAAAATAAATATGTAGTAAAAAAATCGATTAAATGAAAGAGGCAAAAAAAGGAAATGAATATTTTTGTGTATGTAAAAAGTTAATAGGAAGACAACAAACAAACACTTGTCGGTTAACATCAATTCATTCACTCATTCATTCATATTAAAGTTAAAGAATGAATGTATAGAATTCAAAATTGAATGTTATCACAATGTATGCTTGTATGTGTGTATGTAAATAAAAAAATAACATACATATACATACATACTGAAACAAACACACATTCCCATACATTCATATGTACGTACGTTAAATTGTAAATATTTGCTTATGTACAAACAGTTGTTGTAAATATTCTCTTTAAGGGAATGTAAGTATGTAAGTAAATGTGTTCGTATGTATGTATGTAGATTGCGGTAGCAAAAACATACAAACTTAAGTATGAGTAATTAAAATGACTATTTTTCTTTTATTAAGTTCGATGAATTCAATATTTTTTTATAATTTAGAAAACATTCTAATCACTAAACACTTGCATCCATCATCATCTTTCCTTTTAGACCATTTGCTCACTTTAAATTTGTTAATTGGGTATTTTAATTTATTTTAGGACTAGACACCTATTTATGTACCACATGCATAAACATATATCTAACTATGAATGTGTGTATTTTACACATTTTACACAAATGAAATAATTGCTTTAATTTATTTTTAGTCTTGATGTAGTATGTATTTTGTTGTTGTTGTTAAGAATGTATTTCAAATTTTTTAATTAGATTATACATAATTATTATTATTATTATTTTTGTTTTTAAATTTGGTTTTGTTTTCTTTTTACCACTAACGCGTTCACGGAGAAAATGAAGAAAATAACGGAATGTATGGTTGTAAAATTAGCGCCACATGACTTAAACGTTTCAAATTTTTAATAATCACTGACTGAGTCACAACACTGAAGAAAAATTAATACCTTATAGACGGACCGACCGTCATAATAATCGAAAAGCTCACGAATACGAGGAGATAAAAAGGCAAAAACAAATATAAAGAAAATAAAAAAACAGTGAAAATTTTAATACGATAAGCTTTTCACTGCTACTCCACTCTTTTCCAACTGTAACTGTAATAACGAACCGTCAAGCGACAACACGGCCACAATATTTTATTCTCTCCCAATGTTTTTATTTAACTTAAACATTTTATTTTTTTATCATTGTCGTTGGTATTTCTATGTGTGTGTTTCAGCAGAGAAAACATGAAAAACAAAGTACATTTTTAGAGATACGAATACAAGTTGTCGTTCTTTTCGGTGATGATACTGATGGAACTCTTGTTATTTGGTACTTTATTGTATGTAAGTAAATATTGGCTATAGTAATCTCGTAAAAGAATAGATATAGAAATTGCAATAGTTGTAAAAACTAATGGATAACACAGAGCAAGTACAATCAGTAAAGGGGTTTTTATTAAGAACGAAGTATTTTATTTTTGACATTTCTTTCACAATTTGAAACATTATTATGTTTATATAAATGTACCCAAGGAACAGTGCTGCCAATTAAACATTTTACGTCAAATCTGACTTTTATGAGATGGCAATCTAGTCTATAGTCTAGTCTATAGTCTAGTCTATAGTCTAGTCTATAGTCTAGTTTATAGTCTAGTCTATAGTCTAGTCTAGTCTATAGTCTAGTCTATAGTCTAGTCTATAGTCTAGTCTATAGTCTAGTCTATAGTCTAGTCTAGTCTATAGTCTAGTCTATAGTCTAGTCTAGTCTAGTCTATAGTCTAGTCTATAGTCTAGTCTAGTCTAGTCCATAGTCTAGTCTATAGTCTAGTCTATAGTCTAGTCTATAGTCTATTATATATAATTATGTTAAATATACCTGTTTATCGATAAAAAGCGGCATAACTAAGTTGTATACAAGCCTTAATGACCTTGCCAAATTTCATAAAGATCGGGCCTCATTTGACTCTAGCTCCCATACAAAGTCCTCTTCAGAAAATAACTTAAATGTCATTTATAAACACTAATATTGCGATGAAATGCAGCAAAAAAATGTATATAAATATAAATCTATTCCCAAAATGTTTTCGGGATCGGTCCATATTTCTCCCTATCCCCCATAAAATTTTGGGCAACATACTTTTGGAAAAATTTTCACAGTACATTTAAACATAAAATAAAAAAGTACGAATTTTACCTTCTTCCATCACTGTTTAGTAAAAATTCTCTTGCGGTTATTATTTTTGTATTAATTTTTCTCGTCAGTTGTTGTTAAACTTTAAATAACATTCTCAAAATAAAATATGTACGTTTTAGCCACAATGTTTTGGTTGAAAATTATTACACCCTTAACTTATTTAAATATGTATTTAAAGATATTTTAAAATTATGATTTATAAAAATAGAATACTATTAATAATTTGGAGCCAATTTATATACATATATATGATTTAAATTCTTCCGCCGGTTTTTAACTATTAAAACGTCAACATGTATTTGAATTTCAAAGACCTTT